ATATGCAGCGCGTGTTTCCCAACTTCAATTTTATTACAATTATGCCATGAATTTAATCTGGATCATTGATTAAAAAATGAATGGTTTAGATTAAGGTTGCATAGGTTGTATGAATGGTAGAGGGTGTATAATAACACCCCTCTATATATATATATATATATATATATATATATATATATATCAACAGGGTCGAACATAGCTAATTAAGCTTATGTTAGCCTGAACAGCACAAGCCGAAGCTGCATATATTTCCCCTGAGCCGACGCGGAGATTGAAGCTGAGCATGGACGAACTAAAGAAAACCCAGCGGCTTAGGTGGAGATAACGTGCCATGTGAGCTGAAAAATATTCGAGCTGGCCATATTATTACGGAAAGCCTCCCTCATATTCACGGCCTAAAATTTAATTTTAAAACTCTAATTAGCTGGTATTATTTGGCTCCTTTGATCAATTAAAGGATTTCAAGATAATACGAATATTATTTCCTTTTATCATATTCCATTTTTTTATATATCGAAATCAGTGAAATCCTTCCAATTCTACAAATTTATCATTTTTTAACATAAACGAATAAATTGATCATTCATCTGCATTCAATTTAACCAACACCGTCTACCCCGTTCCTCACCACGACCATGTTACTACTGTCATTTACACGCCCTCACCTCTAACCCCCATCACTTTTGTAGCCGTCACGACCATTATATTCCCATTTTTTTTATATTTTGTATTTTTGACCAAATTGTAATTTATTTGTTTGGATTAATTCTTAAAATGGATGAAATCCTTTAAATTTTTCTGAATTTGACAAATTAATGATTTCATCATTTTTTTGACATAAGTGAATGAATTAATTTTATCTATTGGCAAATGTAACAGATTTTGTGATTTGCTTTTAAAAAGAAAAATAACCTTTACAAATAATACTTGTAAATATTTCGTTTAGGGGTCCAGTCCATAATTTTCATATGATCATGAGAATAGATTTTGTAATTTACTCCAAATCTGGTATTCTTTTAATTTATTAAACTACATATTTTTATAGGCGAAAAATTGTGTGAGAACGGAAGTTATGTTGAGAAGCTTAAAAAGAGATCTGAATCTTTGATCCCTTTTTATCTCATGTCCACCATGAATTGCGTTTTAGAAGAGAATTCATTCGATATGCACCTCATTAGTGTTCACATTTAATTAAAATTAATCTAAGGGTGAATTTTTTTTACGCTTCTCATAATAATTTCCGTTTTCACTGGAATCTAATCCTATTTGTGCATCACTTATAACGGGTTATGGTTTCCCAGTCCCGGTCCAGGTCACAACCGGTCCCGCCCATTTTTTTTAATGATAGATTTTTTAATACATTATAAAATTTGTAATTGGGTCACTCAAATCCACTTTAAAAATACGAATCAAAGTCACAAAATATAACGAGAAACCGAGAATTGTGAATGTTTTTTTGCGCTTTGTAAATTGGTATGTAAATCCTTCAACCATGACACTTATATATAGGGTTTAGAAGGCAAAAAAGACCAAAAAAATGGTCATAAACGGTCATATAACGACTATATTTTAGAAAAAAAAATTGGCTACTTTTTTAAAAACGGGGCCAGGTCCGGCCGGTCCCTTGAAACCCTCCAAAACCATAACCGGTCCCGTTCGGCGGTCCTATTACCGGTCCTGGGCCAGGCCGGACCGGTTTGGCCATCACTATCTGTAAGAACAATAATCAAAACAACATCGTATTAACGGTTTTTCAAAAGAACATACGACTACGACGCCTCACCACCAGTTGAAATCGATCATCATAGCTCTAGATTTAATATTTTCTATTTAAAATAATTTACTTTTGATATTTATATCTCTTATCAAATATTTTACATTTTGTACTAATAACAAATATAAAACATTAAATAACCCAAAAAATATATGAATTATGAGAGGCATCACCAAAAATAACAATATCTTCGTAAAATAAACAAGAGATAACAGTTAGAAGATTTTGGCAACGTCCTTCATCAAACCTCTGTTGGCATTATAAAAATCAGTAAACTCCTCGTAAGAAATGTACCCGTCTCCATCAGTGTCGAGTTCGTCCATCATAGTTTGCACCTCTTCAGCAGATACGGAGCCAAGCGTCTTCAAAGATTCTCCAAGCTCAGCGGAAGTTATCTTACCATCCCCATTTGCATCAAACTTGTTGAAGATTCGATCACGCTCTGCCTTGTCCTCATCGGCCATTATGGTTTTCTAATCGTTGTAATCGATAATATCGGTTTTGGTTTTTATGTTTTATTTATCTATTTTGTCAACGGTTCTGCTTTGGGAAAAAAAATGTGCATAACAAAATGCTTATAACATGATTTCAGAAGAAAACATATCATAAATGCCCTTTGATTGCGGATTGCCATTTGTTTTTGAGGTGAAGAGAATACGTTTTTATTGAATAGGAGATAATTAAGGGCTAAATAAAATGTCTTTTACGACTTGCACGTATAACTGTTAGTTGATGACAACTTATGCAAAACATATTATTACCCGTACTTTTCCAATAAAAAAACCTTTTGATATCTATTTTTCAAATTTTATATCGTCCAATGCTTCACGGGAATAATTAATTCATCTGGCATTACGACCTTCACCACAATGATGTTGCCCATAGGTCAAATTATTTCGTGGATTCGTTTTCGATTGACTATTTACATTTCATTGTGAGTGCCCGTGACAGAAGTTCTGTATAAATGTATTGCCCATGCTATTAAGCTTTTGTTTATTCAAGTTGTGTTTTTTCTAAGAGGTGGAATAAAACAACCGAGTTGAAACATAATTATCATATGTTTCTAATGCATCGTCTGTACCATAACGGGTCTTGTTCATTACTATTTCTCCGAAATCATTGGTAAAAGAAAAACGAAAGATGGTGGTTATTCTTTTCTTTTCTTTTTCCGTTACAATTTAAAATTATGAATTTAATATGTTTTTAATATAAATAAAAATTAAAAAATAGTGAAAACGATTAAAACACCCCTTATTTTAGAAAACTTAACAAAAACCGTTAACGTCGTTAAACAGAGCGATCAAAACCGTTAGGAATTAATAAACGTAAAGAACCAAATCCGAGATTTTATAATTTATGGACAATATCCATTAAAAATTACAAATATTAGAGATCAAATTTGAACTTTACTCTAAATTAAATGTTGTATTCTTATTTTAAAAAATTATGTAAGCGGAATACATGTGTTGTGATGTTGTTGTAAAATAATTTTATAAATGACTATTTTTTATAAAAAGTAAAAAGTTAATATTTGTTATTAATACTAGAATGGTACTCGTGCAATGCATCGAGACATATCTTGATTTCAGTGTTTCATTTTATTCTTTTTTTATGTCGATATAATACGGTTTTATGTAGTTTTGAGAAAACGATAATGTTTTTATTTTTGAATAAAATATAAATTTGAAAATATCATAAAACTTTAAAATAATATATATCGATATCAGTATCAAATTAATATTTTTAAAAGTTCTTGTGTCTTGGTGTAATTTCCTTAATTCAATTTTTTTAATTATAATTTAATTTAGATTTAGTTAGAAACAAATTTAATTTAGGTTTAATAATATAATTTTTTATGAAGATAATAACTAAGTATTTTGTTAGAACTCAATGATTATCCTAATTATCCAATTTTTTTATTTTAATATAATGATAATTATGAAAATAACGAAAATACCCCTAATTTAATGAGACTTAACGAAGAAAGTTAACAACCGTTAGACAAAAAAACAAAAACCGCTGAAAATTGACAAATGTAAGAGACCAAATCCAAGTTTTTGAAGTTTATGAACGACATCCGAAAAAAATTACAAACGTTAAGAACCAACATTGAACTTTACTCTTTAACTTAAACTATAGTTATAAAGATTGGATCCCGGTAAAAAATGGAAGTAATGATGAGAATGATAAGAAAAGATCTACACCCTTGAATCAATTCTAACCGAAGATCAACACTAATATGATGCACTGAAGCACCATATCAATTCTCGTATCAAGCATAATTCATGAGATGGAGGTGAGATTAAGAATGACCAAAGGTCCGGATCTCTTCTTATACTTCTCATCTTAACTTGTATTCTTGTCGTATTTAAGTGTTATAAATCATATCATCAAAGAAGTGGGCCGAGGCTTGTCGCTTGAGACTTGAGAGCAAGATTGGGCTTATTATAAAAATCATTGAGCAACCCAATATATATTTATTGGGCCGGATCAGCCCATTAGCAATTAATCTCAATAAAAAAACTAGTCCTACATCATACATTTTTGTTTGTTTTTAAATAATTTTTTAGTTACGGTATTTGATTTTTGGTTGATAAAACTTACGAGAAGTTGATGTGATAACTGGGTTTCTTGGTTATTAAGTTTGGGGTTATTTTTGAACAAGGGTGATAAATTGAGGGGTTGAATTGATTATGTGCTTAATATATATTTTTAATTACCAACGTCTCATGTGTTTTGTTTATTAAATTGATGAGATAATTTGTTATCTCATTGTTTTTTTTTTTTTGTTAAAAACAGAAAGAGGGTGTGTGTGCATTTTGCTCTCTGGTTCGAATCAAAAATAGAAAAATCAAAGAAGAAGAATCTGTATAAGTGTTTATTATTTGAAATTTGCTGTTGTTTATCATCTTCATCTATTGTGTTTTACAGTGAGTTCTATTTTGAAAACATCATTTATTATGTTTTGGTGAAGAAAGCATATGGTTTCATACGTAAGTATATGATGTTCACATGCTGCTGTTAGCACAAATTTTGGGTTTTGATATGATTTATTCATCTAATGGTAATAAGGGTGACATAATTGGGAGATGGGTATTTATACTATATTATAAAGCATTTGGCTAAAACTCTTAAAAACTCTTAAACTCTTAAAACTCTTAAACAATTTCATCCCTATCCGATTTCATCCCATAACTGAATTYRTRTAACTAAMWRMAGATAAACACAATCAAATACATGATAAACATCTCATTTTAAATATAAAAAATCTAAAATATAATTAGGATAATCATTGAGTTCTAACA